TTGTTTGTTTGTTTGTTTGCTTATGCTTGTTTGTTTGTTTGCTTATGCTTGTTTGACGTTTTCGACTTTTTTTTATTTAGTAAAACAAATTTGTTTTCGGTTTTAGTATTTTTTTTCAAATTTTTAAATGTTTTTTGTTCCTATTCAAATGTATTTTTTGTGTCTGGAGTTTGCAAAAGATTTGTGTCTTTTTTGTTGTTGTGTTATTTTGTTGTTGTTGTTGTTATTGTTGTTGCTACTGCTGTATTTGAATGGTATTTTTAGCGTTGTTACACATAATGATTGTTGTTGTTGTTGTTGTTGTTTTGAATGAAATACTACCATTTGTAGTAGTAGTAGCCGCAGCAGCAGCAGTAGTAGCAGCAGCAGCAGTAGAAGTAGTAACAATAGTAGCAGCAACAACAGCAGAAGTAATAGTAGTAGGAGTTGTTGTTTCAAATGAAGTAATTCGTTTACACGCAAGGTTAAGCATGCGTGAATGTCTCAAGGATGATGAGACTGAAGTTTCTTGATTATGTCACCAGGCATGAAAAATTCATTCTTTCATTCATTCTTTCATTCATTCATTCATTCATTCAATCGTTCATTCATTCATTCGTTCGTTCGTTTGTGGGTTCATTCATTCATTTATTTATTTTTTCATTCATTTATTCATTCATCTTTTCAGGTGATGCAGGTTTTTGTATGGCTGGGGTTTCTGAACAGTTTTCTCAATCCTGTCATCTACACCATCTTTAACCAGGATTTCAGAAGAGCTTTCCAGAATATTATGAAAAATGTATTCAGATGTTGTTGTTGTTAATGATGATGTTGTTGAAGTTGATGTGTTGTAGCTGTTGTTGTTGCTACTGCCGCTCCTGATGATGATGTTGTTGATGGTGTTGACGATGTTGTAGTGGTGGTGGTAACGATGATGGTAATGATGGTGATGATGGTGACGATGTTGTGGTAATGATGATGACGATGTTGTGGTAATGATGATGATGGTGGTGGTGATGATGATAGTAGTGGTGATGATGATGATAACAATGACGACGAAGACGACGACGACGATGAAAATAATTTTCACCAATGACAAATTAAATTTCAAATCTTTTTCCCTCATATCAATTTGACGTTAAATAAATATTTGATCATTCCAAGGAAAGGAAATTTGCGAGCGAATTTTTTTTATTTGATTTTCTTGAAAAAATAAATTTGATACCTTTGAAATCATGCGGCGCGTAACTTTTATGAAATTATTTCAAATTATTCTGCGTTATATTTTCTTGTCTATGAGATTTTTTTTTATCTGTGTACGTTTTTGTTTTTTTGAATCTTTCAAATTATTTCATACGCCTATTACAAGTCAGCGAATTCTAACGCACGCACGCACGCACGCACGTACACACACACACACATATTCACGCGCATACACACACGCACACATTCACACGCACAAACACTCACACTAAAAAAAAGTCAGTGTTCGTTCATATAATGTAAAACTCTGCTTCTTAATTTTTTACGCTTTGCTGTGTAACTCTCTTTCTTCGAATGTCTGAATGTGTAACTACAAAAAGATATAATTTTTTGGCCAAAGTGTACATTTTAAGTTAAATTATGAAAAAATAAAGACAACAGCTGTTTATTTTACCATAAAATTTAGTACAGGAATTGAGCTATGTAGCACTCGAACTCAACCCTCACATGGAAGTATATGCATTAGTATATGCATTATATACTAAGTATATTATTAAGTATTATAAGTATTAAGTATATACATTAGTATATACTAAGCAGAGAATCATCCTTGTTACCTGACGATGATTCCATGTTTAAATAATGAAATACAATGAACCTGGCGCGCGAATACCGACCTCACATAGGAGGAAAGTTAATGAATCTCATCTAATGTAGTCTTAGATTTATATGGCAGTAGTAAAATAACCCCGAATCGAGTTTAATCTTTGCGGCTCCTACCGATTACCGACTATGTCGGTATTATATGTCAGACACATTTAACCGGATATTCGTTTCAATGATCGACGGATAACAAAAAAAAACAAGACTGACAAACATCTGCTCACTGATAGCAGTCAGTTTATTCATCACATCATTATTAATATTTATAATTAGTTAGTAGTAATAAATCAAAACGTACTTCTTTAACATTTAATTATTTCAGATTTTCAATTTAACAGAAACAGACATTATGTTTTGATATATATATATATATATATATATATACATATATATATATATATATATATATATATATATAGTCAGAAGGAGACCATACTTTATACAGTACCGTATATATATACAATACTGTGTACACACACACATATATATATACATGTGTGTGCATGTGTGTGAAAAAATTAGAATAAGCTAAAATGAAGTATGGCCATTAAATTATTTAAAAATATGTTAGACTGACGGTGCAATAGAGCTGCTGTATACTTAAAGAGGAAAACAAACAACGAAGAAGAAACTTATAAAATAAATGACTTAAAGAAATTAAATTGCACCTAATACAAGTAGACAAGAAATAAAAATACCTTCTCTTAGGTAATAAATGAACAAAATACATAATTCTAGAATGAATGATCTATGTGAAACGAAGGGAGAGAGTGTATGTTATTTACAAAAGACACAAATAAATAAATAAATAAAACACATACATAAATAAATACACACAGTAACAAACAATTCAACACACACACGCGCACGCACACGCACATACACACAGCATATAAATAGTTTAAAATATGGCTTACAAAAATAAAAATAAATAAAAAAAATGTTTAAATAAATAAATAAAATTTTATGCAAAATCATATTTTCTAAAAGTAAGAAGCATAATGATGAAATTAACTAATTACTTAATTAATTAATATAATTAATTTAATTAATCAATCAATATAATCCGGTGCTAACGATGACTCATCACCATCATTCATTGACCTCATCATCATCATTGTTTACAATTACTGTTAATTGTTTTTGACGCAAATACATAAATAGATCAACAATTTGAATAAACAAAACAAACACTCAAACATACATACAAACAAATAAACATACAAATAAATACACATACACAAGCGAGCAAGCATACAAAGCAAGTACCGTCCAAAAAAACAGAATGTAGAGAATCAATGAAAGGAAGAAAGAACATGGAAAGAATGCAAATGAATACAATAATTTTCCTAATTTCACTAGCTAAAGAAAGTTAATGACGCTCAAACAAAACTAATTCCTCAACTTTAATTTGTCAACACATAATACAATGTTATAAGTAATAGCAAAAACAAGAGTCACAATAATAACAATAATAATAACAAAAACAATAATAATAATAATAAATGAAAAAAAAAAGATTCGTCATCATCATTGTGCGTAGAAAGCATCTATAGTGGATTTGTACATATTGGCAACCACCTTCCTCTTCAGCTTTAACGTTGGCCCTGCGGGAGAAGAAATTCAACAAAATTTAAAACATTCAACCGTCTAACGAAATAACTCTTTGATCAATTAACTAATTGAATTAATCAATCAATTGAACTAATTAACTAATTACCAAATTAATTAATAAAAGTTTTTACGAAGCCAGCGAGCCAACTCACCGAGCTCGCCATAGAATATCGAGAAATCTCTCGGTAGGATGGACCACTTCTGAATGACCTGCGCCCTGGAAATTGCCTTCTTGTTGCACCTGTCAATGACTGCCTGCATCGCCGTGGCAACCTTTCCCGCCATGTGTTCCCGTAACTGGGTCAGAGTTGTGACGTCACTGGGGAGGCCTATTTTTTGACACCATTCGATTGTGAATGGATGTAATTCGTCGAGAGGTTCGGTCGTGGCGACGTCAACTTTTGTTTTTAATGTGATGAGCATGGAGAGAAATTTTTTGCCGTCGCCTACCAGCATGCAGTTGCTGACGCAGGGTAGAGATTCTTTGAGGCAATCTTCGATTGGGATGGGTGCAACATTTTCACCCCCGGCCGTGATGATGAGTTCCTTGATGCGACCCGTGATGTAGAGGTATCCATCTTCATCCCTCCTACCCTGATCACCACTTTTCAACCAACCATCTTCATCCAACGTTTCGATTGTCTTCTCGGTCATGTTCAAATACCCCATGAAAACGTTTCTTCCATTCATCCTGATCTCTGAATCCTCACCCGACAGTTTTGTCTGGACGCCAAAAAGTTCTACACCGGAGCTAGTCGTTCGATACTGCCATGGAAACGATAGCGTATGAGGCCCTGTACTCTCGCTCATGCCATATATCTCAAGAATTGGCATGTTGAGACTCATGAAGAAGTCGAGCGTGTCCTTCAGGATGGGAGCAGCTGCCGACATACAGAACTTGCACCTCTCAAAACCGAGAGCCTTCCTGACCTTCTTGAAGACTAGCATGTCTGCCAGGGTCCAGCCGTACGGGACGGTGCCTCCATTCATGAGTGACATGTTTCCCCAATAGCCTATGTACTTGGCTACCTCAACCAACGTTCTCGTTACAACACCCTTTTTGAATGAAAAAAGTTCAATGTTCATTGTAAAGTATTAATAGTAAATATATACATTTATACATGAGTGTATAATATGCATATCTGCTGTGTGCGTGTAAGTGAGTGTGTGTGTAAATGCACGTGACTAAAAAAAACCACACCACCTCTCCATAGCACAACTGACCTGAGTCTTGCCAACAGCCACCATCTTCTCCTGCATCTTCTCCCAAACTCGAGGCACGCCCAGAAACACAGTTGGATGTACATCCTTCAACGTTTCTCCCAAGCTACCCTGAAATTTTAAAATTATAAAAAAATATAAGAAAAGATATTAAGTACTTCAAGAGGACAACACAGTTACAATTGTGACATTCCTTCGTTCATACCATTATAATCATTTGATATATAGATGAGGCCTGTACCCCACTCACTTAATTATATGCACTCATTTGGCCCATCCCCATCTTTTAAAACATTTACAAGAGCATACCAAACATTATTGTATTGCCAGCATTGTATTAAAGATACTTCAAATGTATAATAGAGTTGAACAATTCAAGCACAAATGTCCAAAAACTTTGAACTCTCAACAATTATTCTAAATATCATGAGTTACACAAACAAACAACAATATAAGCCAACTAAAATGATATTACAATGACATAAATAAATGATGTTAAGCAACCTTGAGGGCATCAGGTTGGGCAAAATAGACAGTAGCCCCGTAGACAACGGGGATGAACATGTCGAGAACCTGAGCAGCCACGTGACTTAGTGGTAGATACGAGACCAGCACGTCCTCGCAAATATCGAGACGAGCTTGTCGGCCGCACACTGCTGCAGTCCAAATTAGATTATCGTGGCTAAGCATGACTCCTTTTGAATCGCCGGTTGTTCCGGATGTGTAGATGAGTGTGCAGCATTTGTTTGGAGCCTGGTTCGCCCAACGACGTTCCAACTCTCCATCACTTAATCCATTCCCTAACTTCATGAACTCCTCCCACGTGTATACATTCGACATGTTGCACTCCAGGGGATCTCTGTACTGCACGATGGCTTTCAAGTGGGGCAACCTTTCCCACACACTCAAGACTTTTTGTAACTGTGCGTTATTTTCAACAATTGCAACACTGCACTTTGCGTTGTTTAGTACGAACCAGCATGATTCTGCTCCATTAGTTGAATATATACCAGTGGCCAACCCTCCAGCCATGATAGAGCCCATGTAGGATATGAACCATTCACAGGAATTGAACCCCAGCAACCCAACTCCATGGTGCTCCTCCAAGCCACACTGTCAATTTTCGTTGTTGTTAATATTATCAATGGCTGACAAATTTTTAGTAAAATATGTTTGCCTGAAATTTTATTACACCTTTATGGATGTAACAATTGTCAAGTTTCACATGTAATTATTGATAAGGCTGATTAAATAGAAGCCAAATAAAATGAATCATAAGTAGATATAAATGTAAATTCTAAGAGAAAAAAATATTTACTGCAATGAAAGATTTGGCAGCCTTCAGAGTCAAGTCATAATATTCTTCAAATGTTATACAGTTCCATTTTTGGCCATGATTATGTTGGTACACTGAAAATTTCATTTTTAAAATTAATATCTTGCTGATAAATACATCCTGCACTATAAATATTATATAAATAAACAATCATAAATGACTCAGTCACAACCAATTATATTATAACAATCCTTTTAAAATTAGAATGAAAGTTAATTGAACATAGGATAGGCTAGCTAGCAAGCCAGGCTAACTTAATGCAGGTCTGTAAGGAAATGACTTGACAGCTCTTTGAAACATGGTCATGACAGTTATGGGAGCTATATGAAACTTTTCATCTCGCGTCAATCTGATTTTAACTGCTTCACCTGCATTTACTGTCGACAAACTGTCAGCTTCTGCCAGTTTATCTGAAGGCAATAGTGAAATATGGCCAAATAATAGATAAATTAATTAACAGGCACCAGCAATTTTGCTGCAAACTATTAAAAACTCATTTTTAATAAGTTGTAAAATTTGTAAATTCAATAAAAAAAATAATAAAATTTACCAAAATCGTTGGTGAAAGTGCACAATTTGTCTTCTATGCTGTTATAAGTGTTGTAATCTTTTTCAGTTTCGCCGGGACTGCTCAGTATTTGGGAATCTTCAAATATCCTAAAAGTAAACGATGAAAGAGAAATTTTAAATTAGCAACAGGACAGGCCAGAGCAAGAAAATTACTCAGTAACCAGTGTCAACAGCCAAAATTTCAAGAATTATACTTTATAGTGAACATTAAATGAAATAAAAGATAATCCGGACAAACCCGCTGTCCGTCAGAGCCTTGCCACTTTCCGAACGTCCAGTTCTTCGTCGCATTTCGACATTTTTGTTGTGATTGGTACCAGCATCCACACTCGTCATTTTTGTATTTTAAACTTGAAATAAACTTGAAAAGTGAGCACTCGACAGGAATTACTTACTCGATAATTAACTCAATATTACAGGCAATGAATAGTGAAATTAATTAGAAACAATTTCTTTATATAGAGAAAGGAGGATGAGAGATGAATAATGACGAAATGTGCGTAGAACAGCAGAGCAAAATCTAGTGACGTGATATGGTGCCACATGTTGAAGCGCTTCATAAGTTCCCAGGCAACCCTGTCTAATTATTTCAACATCATGAACCCGAATCACCGTAAAAATGGTACTAACAGACCGCAAAAGCACGTGAACAAATCATGATTCGTCATAAAAAATAAACTATAACTAAAGAAAAGGCGTAAAATCGGGCCGCAATGCCAATATTTGGGACTCGGAAAAGTACATACAAACACATCGTGAAAATACATGCATTTAGTATGAAAAAAAAAAAAACCGAACTTGGACAGCGACGAGCCCCATACAAACCATCCATATACGCATATATAGTATTGTATTCTATACGGTATAAAACATGGTTTCCTTCAAACACACATATATATATATATATTTTCCTTCTTTCTCGTACCTTATCATTTCAAGACATTGGCGACCATCGACCTCCACAAAACCAGATCACACACACACACACACACACACACACACACACACACACACACACACACACACACACACACACACGGTATTGTATGAATTCTGCTGAATTGTTCGGTAGAATTCATGCAATACTGCATAAAATATGATCTTCCATCATATATCTATATACACACATATATCCAAAAGTAACAAGTGTATAAGTTTCGGTTAATCAGGTCATTCCACTAGATATTTAAACCAAATCGCATGTAATAAAATTAAATAAGAGAACATTTAAAAAACTAAATTTAAAAATTTAACGTCCGCTGCTGATGTAAAAGAACAAGGAATAGTTGAACAAATGAAGTTTCAAGGTTGAAAACGAATGAAATGTCTGTAATTACATCACTTGAATTTTGTTTCCAAAAGGATTTTCATGGTTCAACTTCAAAATTGTTGTTAATTTACTAGATATATACGTTAACACACACACACACACACACATATATATATGTGTTTACATATTTATATATGTGTGTATATATATATGTATACACACATCCATACATACGTACCATATATACATATATAATCCGAATTTTGAAACGTTGAAAGTATACTAAAACGTTTGGCATAAAATCATAATTGAGAAATTAACAAACGTCATCTCGATTTAGTTTCATCTATTACTAGAAAAAAAACGAATAAATAAATAAATGAATGAATGAAATTTAAAAATCATTGAAACACACATATATGGTACATAAATAACGCTAGCAACACACTTTAAATACGACTCAAAAAAAGCATAAAATCGAAATAATAATGAAAATAAAATAATAATAGTATTTATAACAAACGAATCAACCATGTTTTTTTTATAAGAAACGGTTGCTAATTGAATATTCATGATGCCGGAGGACCGCCCCCGAAGCAGAAACTACTGGGTACTTGAGTTGAAGGGAAATTATAACCACCAGCCATCTCTATCTTCTTTGATTCTATCAAGCATGAACAGATTATGACTAATTAATATTCATGAATGTGCTAATAATAATTATTTATATAGTGCTAAATAATATTCATGAGATAATCTGGATCAATGAGAGGCGCCCTACCTTGTGCAGCCCTCTTCTGCTCAGCCAATCGAAATATATCTTCCAACTCCTTTTTTTCATCTTCCGTGAGAGTAGCTGTTAACATCTGATACCACATGACGTCCTTTGAATGGATGCCTGGACAGTTAAAAATAACAATAACAATAACAACAAAATAATATAATATAAAGTAATAAAAATTAAAACAAGACAAAAAGTGCAACAAAATCAACCGACCAACAACAACCACCTCAAACAGTCCAAAACATTACAACAACCACAACAAAATTATGTCAACAACCGACGTCCAACAAACTTCCACCACCTTCAACTACAGTCCTAAACATCTGGTACTCTTCGAAAGGTGAGTTCTCCCCGTCGAGAACTGTCAGGTACGATTCCAACATTGTCTCTTCGTCACCGTCTTCATCGTCGTCGTCGTCGTCATCATCTCCCTCATCCTAAATATGAAAGCAAATTAGGATACAAAATGTAGATTTCCAAATAGATGGAAACATTAAATCAACCAATCAAACAACAGCATCCTAATGGTCAACACACTCAATGAACCAATCAACAACGTACAGCCTTTTCCATCTTCTCGAGGTAGTCTTCTCCCTCATGATCGATGACGTCATCATCGTCATCCAACTCGTTATCATCGGCATCTTCTTCGTCATTATCTTCTTCTTCCTTTTCATTTTCCTCTTCCTGTTGGGACTGATCTGATGGGATAAATATTAAAAAATGTAAGTTTACTGCAAGAAATTTCTCACAGTGAGAAAGAGAAAGAGAGAAAATATATATATATATATTTATTACTATTTAGACTAACATTCATAAGCTTTCTTAATGCCTTTGAAAACGACGATGAGTGAGGACAGCATCTTTGGAGCCAGATCGTTGATGGCAGGCGGTCGAGCACCTTCCGGCAGACTCAGCAGGGTGCTGAAACCGAGGATGAACATTTTGCGATCGTGCACTCTGATTGGTTGGTTGGGTGGTGATTGAGTGATTCAAAGACTATAAATAGGTTATAGTGGCAAGTTTAATTTTTTGAAAACACGTCAAATATATTTGAAATGTAAATAAACAACTTGAAAAACATATATAATCAACAGTTAAATGAAATGTATCTTTAGGTTATAATGAAGAAAGCAGCCCACCCGAAAAAAGAGTCACTGTTCTCGATGACCTGCATAACGATCTGCCTAATCATCGAATGGTCCCCGGCATTAGAGAACTGAACCTCAGAGAGGATGTGCAATGTGAGAGATGGATTGACGAAGATGGAAGCGAGGATGACTTGTAGACACATTGTTCTTAGTTCCGTGGTCTGTATGGGGCGCGAGAGACGAGACAAAATCAACTGGATGAAGATTGGAGTCATCTGCAGGTTGGAAAATATGATTGGTATTTCAATAAATTATGCAAATGAGTCAACCACACAATAGCATTTAAACGATTTCGGCAGAAGAGTTGGCAAGTCTTCTTACTTTACAAGAAAGATCAGTAAGGTCCTTAAATTGAAGCAGCATGATTTCGAGCAGCTTGGCGGCGTGACTTTCTGCATCTTCTCCAGCATCTCCAAGTTCGCCATTCAGAATCTGTCAGGCCATTTATATGTTAACATAACATGAGACAAGAAGTGAGCCGCTAATCACAAACATATGAACGCATGCTGACACACATCAGCACTAATGATCATATGAACATATGCACTTTCACAGTAGCAAAAACACAAGTATAGCAATAATCAGCATTCATTAAAGAATGTGAAACATTAACACACCACATACATACACACACACACACACACACACACACACACACACACACACACAGAAACATAATAAACAACATATCAAACAAACAAGCAGACAAACATCAAACAATCACTGACATCTTTAGCCATATTGTACATGATCTCAATCCTAGCTGGCTGTTGTAAGAAGGCCGGTGGATCGACAGTGATGTAATTGTGTAGGGCAGGCATCATGTCACTGAAGTAGTCTATGTTGCTATCTTTCTTGAAGAGGTCATAAATGATGGGAAGGGCATCCCACATTTGTGGGGACACTTGGGAACTGGTCAGGCTATAAATTAGGGAAAGCATCTCTTCAAAGTACTCTGTTGTAGGAGACGAAATTTCCCAAAATTATTAGGGGTTTGATAATTTTAATTGGGGGAAACAAACTAGAAAAACAATACATTCAAAGGAGTGGAGTGAAACAAACCTGAAACATTGTACCTCAGTATGACTTTGATGACCTCAATTATTATCCCTTCGATGCAGTGCAATATCTGCGAGATGGGACGGATAAAATAAATGACAACTAGTCGACTGATGAAATGAAAAAAAGAAATAAAACAAAAATTGAGATCATAAAAGTGGGTAGACGAAATCTTTCACTTGAATAAATAAAATAATTATCTATTTATTTATTATGAAAATAATATAAATAAAATGTTGGAACCTCTTTTTGATCCTCAACAACTTGGCAAAGGGTCTCCAAACTGTTCAGTATGCCCATGATTACTATTGACTTGTCATCACTGCTCTCACTAGTGCTAGAGGATTCTACAAGTTTTGCAAACGTGCTCGCCTTGGTAAAAATTTATGAAAAAAAAATACAAACTATATATGGCTCCTGTTTGATTGATGGTTGATGTGAATTATAATTTATTCATAAACAAAGCTCCACCCTCCCGTTCGTAATTGACCAATCAGAGAGCACTAACAAGATGTGTAGTTATTTCCACGGCAAGAGGCTTGACCTCCTCTGAGTATGTGTAAACGAAGTTTTGCAGGCAGCCCGAGATGTTGTCAGTCTCTGTTTCCTGCATCAGACTTAGCAGATCTAAGAAGGGTTGAATGAATAAATAAATGAATGAATGTATGAGTAGATGAATGAATGAGTAGATGAATGAATGGATGAATGATTGTATGAAAGAATGAAAAAGCAAACAGCACTTACCTTTGAATATTTGATGCACACAAGGAATAAGCATATCTTTAACTGGTAAGTAGTAGAACATGAATTAATTTAAAGCATCCATTTGAATTGTGTGAATAAATTATGTAAATGAGTTTCAAGAACTCCTCCCACCTCTGGATTGTTCAGACAATAACTTCTGGAGTCCTACGGCGGCTTCAACTCTAACGGGCAGATCCTTATCGGAATTGAGCAGACGACACAATGACTCGGTGACCAGCTGCAAGTTGTTCAGGTTCTTGAACTTCAATTCACTGAAACTGCACATCATCCAGCAGGCCTGATCAAATCAGATTAAGTTTGTATAATCACAAATTCGAAAAACCTAACAAGCCAACTAAATAATAATACTACTACTAATAATAATAACAATAATAAAAAAAACCAGCTGCCCACCCTGGCTCTAAGGAAGCCCTGAGTGCTGGCGAAGTGTGGAAAGACATGAGCAACCAACATCTGCTCAACTTGATCTTTGTAAGGGTTTTTCTAAAATTTTATGTTACACTTTATTAAAAACCGAATTTTAATGCATCAAGAAGTAACGTGTCAATCAACGTCATCTATTCATTACAACTTAAGTAGAAACAATTAAGTTTTGAAATTTGTGATTGGCCAGAAACCTTGAGCAAAACATCAGCCAGGCAGCCAATCATATGCAGTGCCTGATCTTTAACTCTCTCTTCATTGGACATGAGTGCCTGGACAGAAAAGGCCATCGTTTTTGCTAGAACCTCCTTCCTCTTGCGCACCACGTCGTCCAATAAATTTTGAGCTGCTGTTGTCGGACTGAAAAACTCCTCGTATATATCTGTTAGAAAAGTCCAGAATTGATAAGTAGTAATTTATTTCTACCGTTAGTGACCAACTGATGCTATTGGTTAGAAAGCTGGACGAATAAGACTGAAGCATTACTAACCATATTTGACTTTGATGTACTCAACAGGATCATCTTTCCAGAGGTCCTCATCCTCGTCTGTGTGACCCAACAGCGGGAAGATTATGTCCTGAATTACAACCTGTAGCAACATGAATATTAATAGACAGTCTCATTAATATTTAAATGAATCATCATGAATAATAATCAATCAGAGTAAATAGTCACATAGTTAATTAGTTTCTTAATGATATAAAAGTAAAAACCTGGATGTGTGGCTTCATAGCTTTCCATGTAAGAGAATGGATGATTCTAATGTAGGAGATTCAATTGGAAAATTTAACTTTAACAATCATTTTTTAAAACATTCGTAACAGACACAAGCACAAACAAAAAAACCCCAGAGAAACATAAAAACATACAAAACAGAGAGAATACATTGAACAAAAACCTGACAGAAAAACATTGCGTTGACAAATAAATCAACCAACCAATCAGCAAATAAGTAAACCATTCTACCAACCAACAGTTCATTCATCCAACAAAGCATTTACACACAACCAATCAGTCAACCAACCAATCGGAAAACAACCTACCAACTAAACGATGAACAACCAGCCCACCAACCAATCAACTAACCCAATATCAATATACTGAAGGGACAGTTGCAAAACTCTGGGGGCGACAAACTGTTTTTTAACATACCTTTCCAGCAAACCCATAATCACTTGCAGGCATCCAACTGCCAATCATCATTATAAGTATTTTTAGACAGTTATAATTATTAATTAGTTAACCAATATTAATGAAATGCTAATGAACCAACCAGAAAAGGTTTTTAGGAAGTATTCAGAGAATTCAGCATACTCTTTCAAGACATTACCTGGACTACCATACCTGCATTGTGCCAATCAATGTTTACTCATTTATTTCAACATTAATATAAATTTAGCTAACAGCTTTTCATTCATTCATTCATTCATTCATTCATACAAAATTTCACTCATTTATTTACTAATCCAAACAATTAATCTATCACTTATTCCCTTGACATATTCAATTCTTTTAGACAACAGAATTACAAATGAACCAATTAATTTAGTGACAGAAAACAAATGAGAAGATTTATGTGTGTGAGTGAGATAGAGAGGGAGAGAGAGAGAGAAAAAAGAGAGGTATTGCATGATGACATCTAGCTGCAACCTCTCAAAACATCTGGTCATCAGATGAACAGCCCACTTCTTGCATTTCCACCAGACAGTGTCACCTCGTTCATCCTCGTCCAATTCGTCGATGTGTGGAGGTAGGGGTCGTTCAGTGATGCGACGAGCAAGCTCCATCCATTGGGTGAAGACATTGTGATTGATGAGGTTGAGTGGCAAGAAGAACTGATTTGCGAGTGGATAGACAGAGATGATGGAATGGATGAGTGTAAATATGAAATATTAAACAAATGAATAATTAAACAATGTTTAAAAAACAAATACAACAGCTGAACAAATGAAAGAATAAAAAAATGGAAAGAGGTTAAATGTGAACAAACTTGAACAAGTGCAAAGAATATTTTTAGTATTTGCTTCTGTATCAAGATGCTGGGTTCTGATTGGTCCTCAAGAAGTGTAGCAGCCAGCTGATGTATGATTGGTAGAATATGGGTCATGACATCATTAAGTGGGTCACGCTCTGCTGATTTCTTGTACCTGCATTTATGGACAAACCGATATTTTATAACTTTTCAAAATACCGTCCGTCAAACCAAAGCAAACTAATATATAGAACTAAATCTGAAAAACTTACTCATAATGTTTGACTACTTGGTAGAGGCAGATGAGGGCGCCGAGGTAAGCATCGTGCTGACTGGAGGTCAAAATAGCCATGACCTTTTCAATGATGCCTGAACACTTGCCAGGATAATCATTCTTCACTATGATACTCACACAGACTGATAACTGGACTCTAATTGGTCAATTGATTAAATAACTTCACAGAAAAATGGCAAATTGATCAAACTAAATTAACCAACATTACTTAGACATAAACTGAAATTTAGATCAACCAAATTAATCAGAGTTGTGATATAAATATTCATATTGTGACCTAACTTTGGAATAAACTAACCTGATTGGATTTTGAAGTGAAATGATGGCCTGTACAATGTTGTCTCTGATGATCTGCTTGTCATTCTCGTGTATACAGAAGGGGATTGGTTGACCTGGTTTGACATCATTGGTCTTGTCTTCCCAGTATTGGGCCATCATGTTCTTCATATATATGGCTCCTGTGCGATTGGTTGATGTGAAGTTAACATTGTGATGACAGTGCAAATAATTGAGTTTCTACAATCAGAAAAATTAGATCAAAAAAAGTTTTGTGATGTCGCCAACCTGACTGCCTGACAGCAGTGTCGATCTCCGGATTCATGACAAGTTGAAGCAGTTGAGGGACAAAGTTGATGATCTTTTGAACCTTTTCATTAAATATTACGTTTGTTCACCATTTTTAATTTAAATTTTAATTCATTAAAAAAACAAAACCACAAATATATATTTATACTCTACATAAAACAAGATGCAAAATCTGGTGGGGCCATTTTGGACCATCAGAAAAAATTGCAGCAATCCAGACCAGACAGAATGTTTTTTATTTATGAGTCAGTTTTGGGTGGTTTATTTTACGATAAATAGGTGTAAAAAATATCTTAAAAATAAACTTTATGAAAAAAACTAACCCCGGTGAGATAAGCTTCAGCCTGCTCTCTCTGTTCCGGAATCAGGGTGGCCTTCAAGGCTTCAATTAATTTGTTCTGATCCATTTTTCTATCTACAACGATTTCCCAATTCGTGATTTTAAGATGAATTCTAAATGAAAAACAAAACTTCGGGGAAAGCCGGTTTGAAAAATTACCTAATTGCACTAATTCAAAGTAGATGAAATGAAACTTCTGATCGGTCCCCAGGCAATCTGGCGCCAACACGTGCTCTAAAAATGAGTTAGGACAAACTGCAAGTGGCAGCGGAAGTCAATTAGCACAATGTGGTTGTTTTGCTATTGGGTGCGTTTTTCTTCCATGCATCATTCCAGCTTCATTCTTAATCATTCTATGCTCGATTTTTGAATTCTAGCAATTTTGCGATAAAATTAATCCTGATGGCAATCAACTCTAACGCGACAAACATCCGTCAAACGATAATAATTCTCATTACTTTACACATCAATATACAAATAAGATGACACCATATAAATAGAATATATTCTATTTATATGGATGATACATTCAAAAGAATTGAGATAAACTCATAGGACACAAAAACCTCCTTCAGGCAAGTTCAACTGTTCAGTGTTCGTTAACGTATAGAGTGTAACGAAAAAACAAGATACATTTAAAAAAATATATATATATATAAGAAGCATTGAACTTAAATAATTTGATTATTAGCCAATTTTTGAAAGTTTAGTTAATTTAACAGCGCAATTTAAAAAAATCCGGATTCATCTTTTCATCTTCCTCTCTCCTTCCAGAACATTTTAAACATTTAAAACGCAAATCTATTTTTGTAATTTAATTTATCGAGTGCAGGTGTGCAGGCGAATTGGATCATGGGCGGGGGTCCACACATGGTGACCAGCACGTCACTGGCCGGCGGACACATATGAGAGGATATCATCTCGTCATTCACAAAGCCAGTGCTATACTTCCAATCTAATGGTTGTTTAAAAAAAAGTAAATTACCATTTTACAATTCACTTAAAACAGTTGATATTAATTACCGAAAATTAATCCAAATTAAATATGAAATTAAAAAAAGAGCAAATAAAAAACCCGGTTGTGGCCTGTCAAGTGTGTACCAACACTTGAAACTATCAGGATGATTAGCTGCCAATTCGTCCAACTCATTGCGCAATAAAATATCGCTTTCGGTCTATTGAAAATTAAAATTTTTAAAATACTTAACCAACAAATTAATAAAATAAATAATTTTACAAATTTTCAAAGTTCATAAACCGTATATTTAAACTAGCCTGATTGGCATAGAGCAGCCAGAGTTGAGTTTTATCATTGGGATTTTTAAGTATGCAATGAATCATCTGGTACATCGGTGTTATGCCTGGGCAGTGCATGCATATATTAATAAATTATGTTAATGAGATGATAATTCTTCACTAATTATATTAAAATAAGTAGAAAATATTTTACTACAAAAACCAACCTGAACCACCAGCAATCATGCAAAGCTTTTTGTACTTATGATCTTTGGCTGGCAACTTTTTCTCTGCTTGAATCTTGAACAATCCTGTCGAAGATATTAATATTTAATTGTAAAAATAAAGAAAAAATATAATTAAATAATATAGTATAATTATTACATAAAAAATAATTAATTGAAATATTTAAATAGTTAAGACTACCTAGACCCTTGTAGACAAGCAAGCCATTTGGTCCCCGCACGTCAATACTCTCACCAATTTTCATGTTCTCTAAATATTGAGTCATCTTTCCACCTTCAGGAAATTTAGGGTGGACCCCTTTGAAGTACACCTGGCGAATGAAATTGTATTCATCACTTGAAAAAATAGTGTTCTAGCATTAAAAAAAACTATTTGAACGTAAATAGAAATCTTTCAACTGCAAATTTTTAGTCTCAGTCAAAATTAATTTATTAAAAAACAAAACAAATTAAAAAAACATTTAAACAACAACTTTAACAAGGAGTTCCATGTAGCCCTTATCATCTTCACAGGATATTGGTGTGTATGGCCTTATCACTAATTTGTCATCAACCTTTGCAGTCAGGAAGACATGTTGTCCTGAATAAGCATTAAAATTAAAATTCCGTTGGATGTATATATCCAAAAAATTACCACAGTATTTTTAAATTAAAATTAGATAGATAAAGTAGATTGTTTTAGAGTTTTTTATTTTTTTGAGTTTAGTTTCATAACAATAATAATAATAATAATAAAAAATGATGATCATGATGAGGATAGCGATGATGATGACTTACCAACAGGCAGACCTAACACATGGTTGGGAGAAGGTAGTTCAAATTTGAAAACTCTTGTGTCATGGTTCAAAGACTAAATTATGATTAGATTAAATGATGAAATAAACAGTTAACTAATCAAATGTATATTACAATATATTACTAATAAATTTAATAAAATGTGAGAATTTTGGCAATTTATTAGCAAAATTTATATTTGAAAATTAATCTCTGTTTAAGTTAAAATTAATTTAATAAATTATTCATCATAATAACCCTCTTTTCAATTAATTTGAGTGAATATTTAGTGTCTTTATTGATTAGGGTAATTGGTGGAGCCATGCTAAATAGAAATTTTCGACCAAGCCAGAATGCTGCTGTTACTGAAATGACAATTAGGCCAGTAACTAAGGGCAGAACTGTCTTTTAATTGCAGCGTAAAAAATACATCAAAATTAAGAATTAATGAAAAAACGATAATTTAATTAATTAAATTAACTGAATAAACTAGGACAAAAGTTTCATCTTTTAGTTTTATTTCAAATTTTAATTTTAAATCAGGCCAACTAATTAATAAAAATATTAAAAAAATTTCTAAAAAAATATAAAATAAAACAGTTCAATATGTAGAACATGACAAGCCGACACATTTGAATTTTTAAAATATAAAATAAAAAATGATTTGAAAAAAAAACAATTAAAATGAAATTAATATCTTGAAAAAATAATTAAAAAGATAACCGAAACGTCGGCAGACATCTAAAAATAAATTAACAGCAGACACGGAATTAAAAAAATCTGCCAGATCAAATCAACCATAGTAAAACATACAATATATTTATATGTATATATATATATATATATATATATATATATATATATATATATCTTAAATATAAAAGTATATAAACGCAAACATATGGGCAGGTCCAGCTTACAAATTAATAGTGATTAGGGGATCCAAATTATTTCATATTTCTTCAAATTTGTGAGGTTTTAAAATTTAAAAATTATTGAACCGTGTGTAATAAATATGTGAATTTAATTAAAGAACATCCAAATAACTGAGTTTAAGTTAAAAACAGATGAAAAAATAGATATAAAATGATTAGAATACCGTAGAAAACTTATATTATTTACATAATACATAAATAATTCACTAGAAACTAACAATTTTATTAACGGAAATTTCACAAAAGCTAATTTATCGCAAATCCGTCAAATAGAAGCATCCTAATAAATGCATTTACTAAAATTTACTTTTAATGAAACGTCACCTGTAGAAGTGCCTGCTGATTTAAATTTTAAATAGACACGCCTGATGGTATGTGCCTGGTGGTTCGCCTAGCCTCTAATTTATTCATGCCACCAACATCGTGAAAACTAATTTTAAATTCCAAAATTCATATTACACCGCCTGATATGTAAGTATTGGTAATTAGGCAATAACTACTGTTGCAGTTTAGTAGAAGATTAGTTTTACTATAGAGTTAGTTAGAGACTGTAGATGTAGAGATTGTAGACTAGAGCTGTCAGTTATGAGTTAGTGCATGTAAAATTAAAAAAAAATAGTAAAACATTTTTAATATAATATTATAATATCTTATAATATAAAAAAATAGAAATTAAATCTGCCATTTCGTGCAGTTAACTACAAGGTCTGTATTGTAAGTGAAGTTAATTAAGCATTTCTTCAATGATGTGTAGTTTATTTTATTTTAATTAACACAATATTAATGACTAATTTTTAAGGTTGTTGTATACTTTTGTCTTTTCTTCTAGCACTTTGTGCATTGTTTTGATTGTATGGGCATAGAAACAAATGCGTACAACATATAATATACATATAGGATTTAGATACCTAATTATGTATTTATTTGATCCAATATGATGTACTACAGACCCACACACATATGAACTGTCAAATGTTTTGAGTGATTAACATTAAAACATTAAACATCAATAACCAAATGCTTATCAAATTGATTGCTGCACTACATTATACAGACTCAACTACCTATCATATACTATACTGTGTGTTTGTGTGTGTATTCTTCATTCATTACCTTCATATATTTCCATATAATTGATTTATTTAATTATGCAGGTCAACTATGAAATGGCAATCTCTCTTTCATTCATCCATCCATTCATTCATTCAACATCACAGATGATGACGAAAATGATGATGATGAATAAAGATGATGACGAAGATGATGATGAAGGCGGTGATGAATGAAGAAAGTAGCAATGATGATGATGACGACGATGACGACGACGACGAGCAAGATTATGATAAGGTTAAAAATAATGGATGGTGATAAGGCCAATTATGATTAATGGTGATGACTACATAGAAAATGATGATGATGATGATGTGGAAAATGATGATGATGATGATCAGCTAATTAAGCAGTCAACTATCAAACCAAACTAAAATAAAGCATTCATTATGGAAGGTATTTAGTATGCAAATTAATTCTATTGATTCTTAATCATGCTTATTCACTCTCACACACGCACGCACATACATATATATATATATATATAGATATATAGATATATATTTATAATATATATATATATATATATATATATATATATATATACACTCCATAAATATATCTGTCATGTTTATTTGGAATGAATTTATATGTACAAGAGTTCTAGTTGGTTGTTAAGTTGCCCATCATTATCATTGCTGCTGTTACATAATTTTTCTATTAATTTTCACATTTTATTTTCGTTAATTATTAATTTATTCAATGAATTTGGCAGTTATATTGGTTATTACTATTATTGTATTAGTTGGTTACTCATTGATTGATAACTGATTTTGTTAAGGATATTTTTGATAAATTTAAATTAACCATTTCCAAGGATTTACACTAGCTACAGTTGATCACTAACAGTTGATCATGCCAAAACAAGTTGGTTTCGTCGTAGTTTAATTTGTTCGTCGCGTCTATGATAATCTAATAAATCAATCATCATCTGTTAACCAATCATCTTCAAGTACCAAATCAATCAATATTTTATTACAATAACCGCACCGTCAATCAATCAGCCAATCCAATCATGTTTGAGCAGTCAACTCATTGAATTGGATCATCTCTATTCAATCAAACAGTAAATCGACCAATTAGTACTTTTTTAATCGTCTTCAATCGATCAACCAATCAATAAACCAATCAATCAACCAGTCAATCAACCAATGAAACTAATAACCACACCCACAACAACCCATCAACCAATCAGGTGATAATTCAAGTAAATTCGATGGATGCGGAACTGCAGTTCAGCATTTTACCATCGACAACCGGCCTACAGTTGTTCGATCAAGTCATGCAGACCCTATCTATTAGGGAAAAATGGTACTTCGGTCTCAAGTTAGATGATAAGGACGGTAAGGAAGTATGGTTAAACCTCAGTAAAAGAGTGATGTACCAGATTGAGAAGTATTTAGGCAAATCAGGGATGTACCATGCGAACTCGTTGAATAATAATATCGAGACTGATTCTGTCGTTCCGCCGCCACCTGTCGCCATGTTAAAATTGTTAGTGAAGTTGTTCCCGGAGGACGTCGAGAAGGATGTCATTCAGGATGTTACTCTGGTAAGTTAGTGGATGAACTGCTGACGGAGTGAGTAATAAATAGGGCTGTACCGTATAGCACTTTTTGAAAACATACGTTAAAACGGGCGAACATGTTCTTCGATATGATTATTAACTATTCGACCAACTATCTCGTAACTTTTTTCGGATAGTGCCGGATGGTGAAAATATGTCGGATATCCGGTTCGGAGTCGGAGCTAAGCTCCGGTGCAACCATAATAATAAATAAATAAATGACGTTACGATCTATCTATTCATTCAACCATTCATTTGTCTATCCGTCCATCTATTCATCCATTCATTTATCCATTCGTCCATTAATCCACCGGCAGAAACTCTTCTACTTGCAAGTGAAAGATGCAATCCTGAACGATCGAGTCAACTGTCCGTACGAAGTGGCCGTCCTCCTGGCCTCATACGCTTTCGTTGTCAGGTACGGGGACTACGATGATAACAAAGATTATAAATATATCATCTTCGATGAAAAATGGATCCCTGATAAGTTGGTAATCTTTTTTATGTTTGATTTTTCTCGCAAAATATTGATTAAAAAAAAGTAGTTATATAGGAATTTTTATGATCGTTTAGAATTCTCAGCGACTATCCATCTCTCTCTCGCGAACAGTGGAAGGAGATTACACTAACTTGGTACAAGCAGCACAAGTCGATGATTAGGGAGGACGCCATGTTAGAGTATTTAAAGGTGGCCCAGGATTTAGAGATGTACGGTGTGGCTAGTTTCGACGTAACAAACAAAAATAATAATGATTTAGTGCTCGGAGTTTACTGCGATGGTTTGAAGGTATACAGTAAAGATTATGGGTTAGGCTGACGATTAATTATGTAAATTTATTAAAATTAGTATTCGAATAATAATACTATATCAATTAAGCTCATTAATGTATGCAAATTTATTCATAATATTTTAATTTTGTCATCTATTGACCAATCAGAAAGCTCGATCTAAAGTTGGGCTTTCCGTTTTCAGAAATTCGCCGCCTTTCATCACATCAAAAAAAGTTCATCATCAAGACCATTGATAAGCATACACCAGTGAGTGAAGGTGATGATGAAGAAAAAGATGATGATGACGCTGATGTTGATGATGATGACGACAATTACAATGAGTACATTGACGAAAATAAAAATGATTAGCACAACACAAATATCTTCCACATAATCACCATTCAGGAATTCACATTTTTCTCATCTGACAAGCGCACAGCTAAAACCATCCTAAAGCTATGCATGGATTATCATAATTTATTCATGAGGAGACAGAAGGCGGAGTCTATGGATGTCAATCAGCTGAGACTGCATGCTGCTGCCGAGAAGAATGCCAAATTGGCTGAGAGGTTAATTGAATTAGTATGCGAATAAATTAGTAAGTGACACGTTATCGTCGTCATCACCAACTTCGAAAATCGAAATTGACCAATCAGGGAAGCCCTACAGATGGAGAGAGTGCAGAGGAGAGAGATTGAGAGAGAGAATGAAATTTTAGAGAGCAAACTTCAGAAGTACCAATCACAGTATCACTTGGCAGTTCAAGGTTTGTAGTTGAACTGATTGCAAAAAATAATTTAATTAATTGGACGGTGCAATGATGCAGTGATGTCTTTGAGAATTGTATAAAAAAACACACATAATTCTTTCATTTTTTCACTAATTAACTGTTAATTAATCAAATAATTGATTAATTAATCATGTAATTGATTAATTAAGAGTTAATTTTTAAACGTACACCTATAAATACAGTACACTCATACACGCCTATGATTACTAATGTAGTTAATCCATTATTAATAATTTTATTTAGCTATAATAAAATTTATAATTAATCGTAATAATATAATATAATTGTTATTATTTTCAAACCCAGAGTTGGAACACTTAAGAGAATCTAGCTTGAACCTGCATAGGACATCAGATGGCGAGGATCATCTTCATGACCACGTTAACGGTGTCTATGATAATGATGATGATGAAGAAAAGGAAGAAGACGATGAGGATGACGTAGATAGGGCTGTTAGTTTGATCTTTCGTTCTATAATTTCTTAATAAATATAATTAAACATAATTATAATTGTAATTATAACAATATTTAATTGTAATTATAACAATATTAAACGCCATTTTTAATATGTATAATTATGATAGTCTAGATCTGTGTTACAACACATGTTATTAGTTTCAATAAGTATCCGTGCTATCTATAATAATAATAATAATAATAATAATAACAACAATAATAATAATAATAGCGATGATAATAAATTAGAATATAAATAAACGTTATAATTAAAATGATTTACTATAATTATTGATAGAATATTATTACTACCCTTTATTATGTAAAAATTGCTAAAAGAGCAAACATTCCAAGAAAGTTTCAACGATGAAGATACTGCAAGAGAGAAAAATTTTGAAAGATAAAATTGAGACGCTGAGAAGGGACATAGAAGATGAAAAAAAGTCATTAAGCGACGTTCTCAATGAAAAATCAACACTCCTATCACAATACAAAGCAGGTAGTTGTTTAGATTTATTAAAGTTGACGTTGTCGTGACCCGGTTCGAATGCATAAAGATCTCCTACTTATTGTATTGCTACCCAGCACATGTATGAGAGATTTTTTTACTTGTAAGTTTGTAGAAAGTTCATTCCGTACACTCAGGAAGCTATGCAAAAGGCGCTATATAAATGACACGTCATAATGACCATATTATAATAATATTATAGAGTAATAATAATAATATTACGTTTATATGTTTTTTTTGTCTTTGCAAACAGAAAAATTGAAAAATTATTTTAACAAATATTCAACTGCAATCTTCAACACTTCAACTGTTGCCAAAGATTACGATAGCAACAGCAACAGTAGCAACTTTCACGAATTGCTACAGGTTTGTTATCTATCTATTTACTAAAATTGTTTCATTGTAATATTTTTTTGATTTAATAAGTATTGTAAATGATTAATTATACACACAATTAAAAATTTAACCATTTAATCAATTATTTACGATCTTAAGAGCTTGAGTAAAGATTTGATAGAAGCCAGAGAGCGGACGCACACGCTGAGGAATGATTTAGCGGAACAGCAGCGTCACAATCGGCAAATTTTTAATGTCATCACGTCCACTATCATGAAGAAATCAACCGTCGTTAATGATGATAACGACTGTGATAACAATGATGATGGTGATGGTGATGAGAAATATGATGACGATGGTGATGAAGGTGAAGATGGTGTGGATGGAGAAGATGATGTTGATGGGGATGAAATTAATAATGAGTCATATGCCGATGGGTGATTTCTTGGCTTTGAAATTTTGTTTTTTAACGTTCATATTTTTTATCTCGAATGAAATTTATTTCAAAATAAATAAATTTTGCGTCTTCTCAACGTTGTTTCGTGTGTTAAATGTTATAAAATAATCAATTTGTCGATTGAAATGCTCGGGTAAAACTTATGTATCGAAAATGAAATTGTCAAAATAATGTCTATGGTATTTGATGAGTACGTTTAATTTTTTCAATTACAATTTCTTTGTAAATTGTTCGCGATAATAGGTTTTAAATTTATTTTTCTCACTTCTTGTTTAAAGCATGAGTATTCCGGTTTTTATTGATTTGGAGCCGATAAATCAGGTTAACTGAAATTACATTTTAATTACAAATAAACTTAATTTCATCTGTTTTAAACCATTTTCAATTCGATCATTTGCATCCATATGCGTGTGTTGTGTGGTGATGCGTGTGTGACTGATAAAATTCAAAAAATTCCAAATTTAAAAATACCTAATTAATCCACACCTAACTTCAAAATAATTAGTTATCGGAACTGCGGAGTTATTTGAGAAGTAAGAATGTGGATATCGAGGAAGAGGTCCCGGAGAATGTCTTCCTTGAAGAAAATCTCTTCCAAGTCATCACCTGCTCCGAACAACTTTGGAAGGAACAAGTCAATGAATCCGGTGGGTTCTTCATTTAGTTAATTTAATTATATTAATTTTATTTCTTGATTTAATTTGTTTTTAAAATTTTAAATAGACAATTTCTTTCTTAATTTAAGCTTAAAAAACCTGTCCCTACAGAAGTTGAGTCGATTTTCAACAGTATAATCAGTTTAAGTATAGTCTTACCGCATGAACAGATTGAACCAGCTGTCAGTGCCCTCTGCCAGCAACTCAAAAAGCCACTACCTATTGGGGATAAAAGAAACGCCTCCAAATTAAAACTGTATGTTAACTCAAGCTTTAAGTATATTAATGAATGAATTTTATTTTGTGAAAATTTATTAATTTAATTCATTAAAAATTAATTTTTTTATTTCCTAACTTTAATAGTTGGCTGTCAATTAATAAAGTTTATGATTTTTTTTATTAGCTTGAACAACTTGTTCATTGGCCTAGATGAAACCTCCCAGCTTAGATACACAACCTATTTATCTCTCATCCAATTGGCTGGCCAAACTGACCTACTTAACCTCGTTAACATAAAATTGGATGATGTGAAGAAGTGGATGAAGTTGTGGCAGTTAGATACGCCCCAATATCAGGCTCTACTCAGGGTTCTACATGAGATGTTCACCTCCACTAAAAAAACGTGATGACAGTTTTTCACTAATTCACTTATATAAAGCATATATATTGCCTATACAAAGCATATATAACTATATTGCATCTTTCTAGCATATATATATAGCTATATAACCATACATAAAGCATGCATACCTCAGCTAGCCTTGCAGATTTTTATTATTATTGTTATTATTTTTATTGCTATTTATTTTATGTTTCATATTATTATTTCACTAGTGACCAGGCCTCGAAAGTGATGATAGAACTGTTGGGAACGTACAATGAAGAGAACGCTGCCCAAGCCAGAGTCGATGCCAGGAGGTTAATTTATGCAAGCTCATTAACATACAAGTTGTGGCCTGTTAACGGTGATTAATATTCAAATGTTGACCTACTTTGCTCTGATAGGTGCATAGCGACCTGCATAGCTGACCCTTCTGTTTTGTTATTGGATCATTTGTTACTGCTTAAGCCCGTTAAATTTTTAGAAGGAGAGCCAATACATGATGTTAGTGATAAAGATGATGATGATGAAGATGATGACGATGATGATAAAAAGATGAAGATAAGGGTGATGATAATTAATTTTTTAATGATGCAAAATTTAATTACTCCAGCTTGTGACTATATTTGTGTCTGGAAAGTTGAGCCAGTATTTATCATTCTATGAAAAGCATAAGGATGTCATTTCCTCCAATGGTATGTTTGCGTGTGTGTGTGTGTGTGTGTGTGTGTGTGTGTGTAAATGAGAGAGAAAGAGAGAGAGAGAGAGAAAGGTGAGAGTTGTTACAGCTCCTAGTATTAATAAATTTATTGATAGTTATTTTTCGTCTCTTCCATCAAAATTAACACTTTATTCATTAAGAGTTCACTTTTTTATCGGCATGTTGGAAGTTAGTTGAACCAGATACATGATATATTACGTTCTGCAGGTTTGAATCACGAGGACAACAAGCAGAAGATGAGACTACTCACCTTTCTGTCATTGGTCGAAGGAAAGAATGAAGTGACCTATCAGGCTGTCCAATCAGAGCTTCAACTGGAAGACAACCAATTAGAACCTTTCATTATTAATGGTAGGAGGAGCTATTTCTTTCAACTTTTATTCTCGTTGGTTTATATTTTTGTCTCCATATTGCAGTAATCAAAAGCAAGGCAGCTAAAGTGAAATTGGTGCAAACTCAAAAGAAAGTTAGTATTTTTTTTCATTTTAATTAATTCATACTATAAAGATTTAATTGGTTATATTTTAGTTAAATGAAATTACGGTAGTAAAATTGATAATTTTTTCAGATTGTTGTTAACAGTTCTATAAATAGAACTTTCGGAAAGCCCCAATGGCTGCAGCTCAAAAATCAATTGATTACATGGCAGACGAATTTGAACCTGGTGGCCAATGGCCTGCAGGGCATTACCGCCAAAGTTTAAAAATAACTCGTTCGGGAGTTTTCAAATCTGAAAACTGAAACCGAAACTTTTATTTAGTTGGTTATTTTTATCGAGTTCTGATTTTATTAATAAATTATTTTCAAAAAAGTGAATAAATAAGTGCTATGGCTCGTAATAAAGATGCCTTTATCCAAAATTCCCAAAAAGTCATTTAAATAAATAGATGAACGTACGAGTGAACGATAGAAGGGATAGCTGAATGAATGAATTAGCTGGTTAGCAAAAGGTTAGAGGTCTACTACACTTCTTGCGCCCAGAGTAATCAACGACTCACAAACATCATGTAAGAATGCATGCCAAACTACACAGTGGATAGAAGAATGAATGAGTGAACGAATGATTGGATGAATGAATGATTGGATGGATGAATGAATGAATGATTGGATGAATGAATGATTGAATGAAGAAAATATCGTAAAAAACAAGCATGACGTATATACATGTACTAAACACAGCTTGTCTATAATGGTATCATCTTGAAATTTGATATCACGGCAGTGCAGTTCGCCGCCTGTGACTATCCTTCAAAAAGAACCTCGGCTTTTGTACTTTATGTTAATTATCTATTTAATTATTCATTTATTTCAATCAATCATTTATTCATTCTTTTATTTATTTCAGAAAAAGGTATGACATATTACATCTATTTATATAGCATAAATCAAATAAAGTCAAAAATATGGATTGAATGTATGTTTATGAATTTGGGCATATGTGTGTATATATCCATGTATTATATATATGTATATAAAACATGGATATATATATAGATGAATATATATATGTATATAAATATATATAATATAAAAAGTGATGATGACGAAGATGAAGAAGATAGTGAATTTTATACTATAATGGTTATTTATGCTATCTAAGGCACGCATGCTGATTAACAAAGTTTGAAAGTATGTGCGAGTGTGTGTGTGCCTTTCTCCCTGTATGTGTGTTTGTCTCTTTCTCTTCTCTCTCTTTTCTCTTCTCTCTCTTTTCTCTTCTCTCTCTCCCTCTCTCTCTCTCTCTCTCTCTCTCTATCTATCTATCTCTCTGTGTAGAAAAATTTCAAACAAAACAAATGTTTTTCTACATTACATAATTTTTCGCCTGCACGCACTAATTTCAATTAGTGCGGAGTTGACGATGATGAAGATGAAGAAGATGCTACTGATAACGACGACGATGATGGAAATGAAATGGTTAGGTTAATTGAATCAATTAAGAAATCATATGGCTGCTGTATGGTGCTTTCTCTCTGTCTTTCTCTCTCTCTCTCTTTCTCTCTCTATATATATATATAAGTGTGTGTGTGTGGGTGTATGTGCGCGCGTGTATATGGATGTATTCTTATAGATATAGATATATATATATATATATATATATATACATTTGTTTAAAAGAAGCGATTGGTGATGTTACATCCACCGAAGGGATTCTTTATAATTTTTATTACACATACAATAAAATAATAATAATAACGAATAATAATAACGAATAATTATAGTTATAATAATAGTTGTTTTAGTTATTTACAATATTAAATAGTATAATTAATTAATGATAAGTTCTTTGAATAACATAATATATAGTTATAATTATATTTATAATAATATAATAATTATTAAATAATATATAACATAATATGACATAACTTAAGTCATGTTTTCTTAAATAAAAGGTGAAATATATATAATAATAATAAATATATCTAATAATAATAATAACGACATTGTAATTTTATATAAACTTATCTACAAATAATTTTTTTGACATAAACGCTTTTTATACTTTAATCCTTTGCAAAATTACTTATTAAATTATTAATTATGCTAATTAGTAGAATTGGCGCCATAAGTGTAATTAATTTAATTAATGTAATTATTAATTGTCAATCCTGTTTGTATATGTGTATATCATTAATATAGTTGAGAAGAAAGTTACAGACCTTGATCTTTCGTTTTTGATTAAAAAGAGATTACTATCATCATCGTCATCAGTATCTTCAGTCAGTATCATTGCCAGTATCTTCAGTCAGTATCTTTATCAGTATCATCGCCAGTTTCTTTATCAGTATCATCATCTTTTCATCATCCTAATCGTCATCATTATTTTTTAACATGCCGTTTTTAAGAGCACTGATAATGACGACGATGATGATAATGATGAGTAATGTTATTACGACTGTTGAGGGAACTTCTTTTACTACTACTACTGCTGCTGCTACTACCACTGCCACAACTACTATTACTACTACTACTCTAGTTAATGTTCTTGAAGAATCAAAAAGTGTTAACAACAGCACTGATGTTGTTGCATTTGATGGCGATAAAGATTATGATAATGATGATGGTGGGAACGGCGATAATGGTGCTGGAGAGGATGAAGATGATGACGTTGACGATGACGTCATCACTGGACGCCATCGTCATGAAGGTTCCGTAGTCGATAGACAAGATGGAAGTCGCAGACGAGAAAAAAGTCAGTCGGTGATGACGATGATGATTGTGGTGGTGGTGAGGATGATGATGATGATTGTGGTGTTGGTGAGGATGAAGAAGAAGATGACGATAACGATGATGATGACGTCACTGGATAGATTAATTATTATTTATCTCTTTTGATGATGATGATGGCGGTGATATGGCGTTTTTAAACCAATCATTTTAAACCTCTCATTTATGAAAACATAAAACTTATTTTTGATTAAATTTATTTCGGTTCTTCCTGAGTCGTTTATTTTTCATTCATTCATTCGTTTGTTCATTCGTTCATTCATTCGTTCATTCATTTGTTCATTTGTTTGTTTATTAGTTTATTCATTCATTCATCTTTTTCATTCATTCTATCTCCATCATTTTTCCCTCTGTCTTTAGTGTGTGGCTTAATTAACGTTGCTTTCGATATTTTTTTTATTTTTCCTAAAATAGCAACTCGACTACTATCATCATCATCCTCCTCCTCCTCCTCCACCA